AACAACTTACTAGTGTTAACGGTACTCTTTCAAATGCGATTTTCTAAATTCATTCAAAACAAATATTTTTCGATACAAACACTTTAGAGATTACTTCTACAAGTATGTGGAGTGTACTGTACACCTCTCATAACCGGAAAAAAAATACAAATTGAATGCCTTAAAAAGCAAATGGACGCTAGCTACATATGTATGCGCGTTCTTCTAATGGACGCTTACCCTATTAGAAATAAAGCCACAAACGCCTACATACCTACATATTTATGTATGTACATATGCACATATGCGTAGTACAATTGGATCGCTGCTGAATTGTCAGACACTGCGGCAGGCATTTTTTAAACGCAAATACCCATACATAATCCATCAATTCATGCAGAGCTCATTAATACGTAAAAAAAGAACTGCTAAAAACTAACCAAAAAAAAAAATGTTGTTCTCGAAAACTAAAGCAACCCAAGCAACACATATATGTAGCTGACCATTTCAAGCCATTATCCAAAACATACAAAAGCCATGATCATTTTAAGGGCAGCAAGTATCTACCTTTTTTTCAATTTATTCTTCGTCGAAAGAGGAATACCATTCTTTGGCTGTTTGCGCATGGATTATTGAAATTTGCTATGAGCAAAGGATATACAAAAAGCAAAAAATACAAGAATATAAAAAAAAACAAAGGATCAAATGTGTGCATGTGTGTGTTGCGCAGAGCATGTGTGGCAGCAGAGAGAAAGGTGTAAGAAAAAGAGCAACCAAACAGTCGCGCGGGTTGGCAAGCAAAACGAAGCCAGCCGGAAAGAAGTCAAACGAAAAGCCGGCTGTGCGTGGAAGGCAGCTGTTTTGTCTTAATAGATTTTTGTTTGTTAAAAACTATTGAAAAATTGAAAATAAATGCTGAGTGAGGCACCAGCAAACTAACTGGCATATGTTGATTTAAATAAGAATCTATATTTTTTACTGTGAATAAGCATGCGAAAGTATGACGAAACATTTTAAAATGCAGTATATTGCTTGTTGCTGCAACATGCATCTAAACATTTTATTTCCGTACATACAAATACTTACAACCAGCTACAAAAAAATAGACGACAGCTGTCGCTGCTATTTTTTTTACTAAATAAAAGTCTTTATATTTCCATTTATTTGTATTTATATTTAGGTACTAAGTATATGTAGGCCATATCACGCTTCATACAAAAGTACTATACATATATATGTAAATTGCGATGAAACTGTAGCACAAAAAGTAATATAATAAATTTAAAGAAAAATTGTGTAGCATTCACATGTGCACTCGCAGACACCCAAATAAACCATTTATCATGTGACAGTAGCCCAACAACAATTTTAGCCGGCATAACAAACACACAGACAAGCCTGCATATGAACGTCGAGTTGCACACGAAAATCAATTTGTCATTATGACAGCGCGCGGACAGAGGTAAGAGGTAGAGAAATAACGTATGTATATTGTCCAGAGAGTGTGGCAAACAGGCTCAACAGCCGAACAAAACAAATGTCGATGGAGTCCAGTTTTGTGTGTAGTTGCTGAAGTTCAGTGTCGACACGCACAAATTGCCCGTGTGACAAGTCGA